CCAGCCACGGACAATATTGCCTACAGGTGGTTCAATTGGGTAGGCCCCTTTTTTTCCGAGAAAACACGGGGCTACTAAAAATATGCGGCTGAAAATTACACAGCCGAAACCAACCGCAGGTTCTAGTCTTTCCCACAGGTTTTCCATTTCGCGGATTCCCATGTTCTGAGCCGCCAAATGAACAAAAGCAAACCAAATGAGCAAAAGCCAAATGAAGAAACATACATATTCCATCTTCTGAACTTTCCATTTTGGGGATTCCATGTTTTGAGCCGCCAAACGACCGCTGAACCTGTAGCTTCCCAGCCGTCTGCGTTCGCCAGCCCCGTGCCCGCGTCAGCGCCGCCCGCGCTCGCACGGTCTCCCCGCGCCTCGCCGCAGGTGCTGAAGTGCTCGGAGAGGGAGTTCTCGTCCGCGGTGTCCGGGAAGCCTTTGACCACCACCGTGAGGTCGTCGTTGCTGCCCTTCCCACCTGGGGACCCGTTTTGGCAGGTCCTTGGGCTTCAAGCTGAGGCGGGGTGCTTTTCCATTTTTCGAGATGGACCCCTTCGGCTTTCTCCCCTTTGGCTTCTCCTTGGTCTCCCATTGGTTTCCTTTTGGAACCTTTGAATTGCCACAACACACAACCCTTTATGAGCACGGTTCTACCAAACCCCGTTGCCCCCAGATTTCTTCGATCCAAAACCGGTCCGAGGCTTGAGTTCATCCAGGCGACCTGCGTATCACACCGCCCGCCTCACCTTCTTTTATTTAATTTTCTGGGGGTCTGAGCCAGGGAATCCCAACCTTGAAGCTGCCTGACAAACGGGTGAGGCTAGGGGGGGTTAGGGGGGTTAGGGGGGTTTGAGGGGGTTTAGGGGGGCCTCTCAAACAACGCCCTTTTACACGCTTGTTCGGAAGGAACACAAAACCGACCGTTTGCAGGCATGTCTTTTCATAGGACCTGGTTTGTGGGAAACATCCATTTGTAAACTTTGGGTGCAAGCCCAAGCGGGCTGCCCAGAATATAGAAGCAAAAACACAGAAACAACCTGAAACAGGATCAAGTGAGCGGAAACAGGTTCGTTCCATTTGCTTTGGTAAGGACCTTTTTCCACCTCACTTTCCGGGAGCTTCCAAAAGTGTTGGACTGCTTCCCTGAGATTTTGGATGCTGTGTGCGGATCCTTGCAAGGAAACACTGTGCAATGAATATGGCTGCTCCTTTCCATGTGCTGGTTCACAAACACACACACACACACACTTACTTTGGGTTGCATGCATTCTGGGTTTGATTGCATTCTGGCATGCTCACTAGAGGGCCGGGTATTTCTACCTGCACGGCCCCAACCTCCAAACATGGCGCAACCAATAGCTCAAACGCCTCTTAAACCAATAGCTACGGTGCTTCGGGTGTCCGAAGCTTTTCCCCCCTTTGCAGTCTGGGCTGCCCTCAGATCCCCTGCACAAAATTTAACTTTTAGTGGGTTAAATGGAAACTACCACTAAACACTAAGAAGCTAAAAAGCTAAAAGGCTAAGGAACCGGATGGCTGGCTTCGCCACCAACAAGCAGAAGGGGAAATTGCTCAGCTTGGATTTGCCAGCGACCCTCCAGCCAAATCCCCTCGCGACTCACCCAGCCAAATCCCCTCGCATCCCCTCGCGCCGTGCCTCCTCCTTCATGCTTTTCGCTGGCCAGCTTCACCGAGATGAAGATGGAGCCCATGAAGAAGCTGCCTCAGCCCAGCTGCCCAGCGGTTCCTTTAGAGAGGGTATAATTTTCTACCCGATTCTTTTTCGGCTTGGTCTATTTTAGTAGGGGAACCCCCCCAAAAAAGTGGGTAAAAGTTGGCACCTAGCTGGGGGACCTAGTGGTGGGTCCATGGTGATGGTTGATATGGCTAGCCTTTTTCTTTTCCAGAAGCTCCATGAGAACCCCAGTCGCAGTTCCAACCAGGAACACCTTGCAACTGACAGCTCCAAAACCACATCGGAATCACCGAAACTGCCCGGACGCTAGTCAGGTCTACCTGATGCAAAATTCCAAACTCAACTCCAAATCATCCTACTATTTCTTGGAAAGGCAGCCCCCAACCTCCAAGAACACCAGAAACACAAAACAACGAAACCAGACAAACAACAACAGCGCAAACGACCAAAACAAACAAACAAAACAAACAAGCAACACACACCAAAAAAGCACAATTTAACACAAACTAGGTCCTCCAGTAGAGAGGTTAGACTAAGGGTACCCTTTTTTCTGTAGTCTATTTTAGTGGAACCCTCGCAACCAAACAAGTGGGTAAAACTGGGGGTGGCTAATGACCTACCTGTTTGCTCTTCTGCTCTCCACAGCTAGGGGTGAGTCTAAAAGGTTGGACCCTTTTAAAGGGCACTGGAGGACAAAAACCATCTACAGCGCAGACATTGCCAAAACAAAGAAACAAAACAAATAACAACCCCCCCCCCCCCCCCCCAAAAGCACAATTTAACACACACACACAAAAAGAAAAAAAACACACACACACACACACAAAAGAAACAAAAACACACACACACACAAAGAAAAACAAAAAAAAAGACGCTACGGTTCTTTTTTCGGTTTCGGTGCTGTCGTAGCCCAACGCGCTTTGCATGGCCTCCTCCGTGGCGAAGCCCACGAAGGCGGTGCCCTTGCCCCGCGGCACGCTCACGTGGGTCACCTGCGCTCAGTGTGGCGGCGGCTCCTCCCGAGGGATATCACGAGGGCCACAGGGCATCTGTTCCATGTCTCTTGGAAGAACTATCCAACTCGTGTCTTCCCTTTTTGCTGAAATCGCCTGGAAAAAAAATCAGAAATATGTTGCAGTGACCGATTCCCTTTAAAGCCAACAGGGGAAATTAAAAAATAGTCTTAAACAAATGGAAGAAAACCTCCCAACCAAAAAAGTTGGTAAAAGGGCACCACTGGGGGACCTAGTTGGGGTTCCATGGTGATGGTTGATATGGCTGTGGTGGTCAAAATAGTTGGCAACCCCAAAATGGGGCGAGCCCTGGCACATGCAAACAAGGACGACCTGCGGTCCCTGGTGGTTCAATTTTGACCCATACCCATATCGGCTGATAAACATAGCTGACCGTTTGGCTACAAATAGATGGCCCTGGAAAATTATAAAACAAGGTCAGCCAGGAATCGTCATCAATCTTCGACCAACACCAAAAAGGTATTATGGTATTATGCGCCTATTCTCCTTGTTATACCGGGCAGTAGCACCGCCTACTATGGCCAAATGACACGAGGGTTCCATCCGACGTTTGCTTCTGCCGACGCAACCTTGGGGCGGAAATTTGATATGTCCAAGAGCGGATCACATGAAACCTACAAACAAATAGGGTTCGGGTTCCTGTGGAAGGTTCACCGTGGGATTCCCACCATTATAACAATAGCCATTGTTAAGAAGCTTTATCAAAATTGAAGGACTCTGTTGGGGGTTGAAGCTTGGGCTTCAATTGGTCCTGTTGGTTTCTGTGGGGCTCTTTTCGACTTCGGTTGGTTGTTGGTTTCACTTGCGGTGTTTGTTGCTCCCTTTTAAAACCTCTTTTGAGGCATCGGAGGGTCCAAAGCAGGTCATGAAGAGCCTCTGCTAACTTTGGCCAAGCCTTAAGGCCTGCGAACCCGGGCCAAGGAAACTGTACTCCTTAGGGTCTGGAAGTGTAAAACGAGACCCCACGCTGTTGAGCTGGTATGTTGAGACAGGCTCACTTGGGGATGGGCTGAACTGAACCTCGGCTCAAAAATCCCATTGGGAGGTCCCACGTTCAAGCTGGTGTTCAAAAGGTCTTCCCATCCCCCCTTGATTGGGAAAACCCGCTCGGTTCCATTTAATGTTGACCCCGGAGAAACAAACCACTGTTTATGAATATGAGGGTGTCCCTGGTTTTCGTGGGGATTCAGACCACTTTTGGAGGGGAACACCCCCATATGAATAACCATTATATATATATATATTTATTTATTTATCCGGGGTCAACATTGAAGGTGGCCGAGTCGTCTGCCTGGACTCAGATCCTCCACACACCCGGTCTCCCCAATCGAATCGGGCCCACCTCTCCGCAGGAGCCGAAGAACTCCTCGTGGGAGAAATTCAGCCCGGTTTTGGGGTGTGGTGGTCACAAATAGGGCTTCCATTTGCTCAAGTGCCCCTGGAAAAATAACAATATGTCCAGTAGTGATAGATTCCCCTTTAAAACCATGGAAGGTAAGCCCAAAATGGGGCGAGCCCTGGCAAATGCGACCAAGAACTGAAAAAAACAACTCGCGTTCTTGGGTGGGCGGCTCAATTTTGACCGGCCATTCTTCGAACCTCTTGCAAAAGGAAAAAGCCGACACATCGAAGCTTCCCTTCAAACTCAGAGGGGTTGGTTTAAACACAAATGGCTATGAATTTTAATAAGGGACCCTTTGGTGGACATCATTTAGGTGGGATTCATGTCCACCAATCACTTTTAAGGTGGTTCCCTCATAAAACAAATCATGGCCAAATGAGCATTGTTCTAAATCATTGTGCGGGCCAAAGCCACCGACAAAATGCTTTCGCGAAGGCCTACACGGGGCTTCCGCGGCTGCGAGGGTAGCTTACGCGAGTGGTGTCTACATTGCAAACGCCTGCGCGGCGCTTACGCGGATTGATCTTTTTTGTGCAAGTTAGTTTTCAAGTGTTTTCGCTTACGCGAACACAGCGAAAACACAAAAGCTGTGGAAACTCAAAGGGGGTTACACGATGCCTTCGCGAGTGAGCAAGTGGTCGAACCTTTCCGCGAACCCTTACGCGGCCTTCCGCGACCTAGGGAAAAATACCTATTTTCAAATCCATATTTCCTCTCGAATACTACTTTCAATTGCAGGGTATTTAGAACGCTGCTCAAATAAGGTGTGGGTCAAAAATACGTACCCAAAATGGGTTGCCCTGGTAAATGGGAAACAAGGGCAACAATCTGCGCTGCTGGGTGGTTTCTCATTTGACCCACACCTAAATCGCACTCAGCTCTCCTTGATCTTGTTCTCGTCCGTGTTTCCCGGCAGGCCTTTCACCACCACCTCCAAATCGCTGCCTTTCCCTCTGCCCCGCCGACGCCGCTCGCGGCCTCACGTGCCAGAGGCTTGTTTGCTTTAGTTTGAGTTGAATGGGAGGGAATCAGTTTGAGCGGAAAGGACACATGAGAGGTTTGTTTGGGGTGAATGGACAGAGTGATGCGTGGTTGCCTGTTTTTTGTTTGGCTCCTCCAGTAGAGAGGTTAGAATAAGGGTTCCAACTTTCTTCGGTAGTCTATTCTAGTAGGGGAACCCTCCCACCAAACAAGGGGTGAGAAAGGGCACGATCCTGGGGAACCTAGTTGTTGTATTCCTTCTTTCTGTTTTTTCGCGGGCGTGGACTTTTCGGGGGGGAAGCATGAGACGGGCTGAATCTGAAACCTTCTTCTGTTCTGGCCTACGAGGAGGACGGTTTTCAGGGATTACACTGGACCACTAGGTGACCTCTGTGAAGGAATCCCTGTTGAAACTCTCAGCGGACCTCTGTTTTGAGGGCAATGAAGTTCACTTCAGCAACGAAACTGAGTGGGGAACACTTCAGCACCACAAAAAACCAAAAACCTGTCGAGCAGCCCTTGCCGAAGCCCTTGTCGTCCTTGCCGCCGTCCTTGCCGAAATCCTTGCCACCGTCTTTGCCCCCGTCCTTGCCCCCGTCTTTGCCGGACTTGCCTTTCCCCTTGGATCCTTTGGATCCTTGCGCATCCCAATCCTGCCAGCCGTCCTGCGGCAGGGATCCAAGACCTACTGCTCAGCCAGCCTGGTGAGACCGCCCTTTTCAAGCTGTATGGAAAGATTCAAACAAACAGCTGGCATTGGGCACCAGATAGACATACAGCTTGAAAGATATGACAACAATGGCCCATATTCAAAGAAACACAGCAGATTTAGAGTTACTATATGGGCCCCTTTTGGGCGGTTTTTGGGCGTGGGTCTGGGTGTTTCCAGCCCTGTCCTGCCAATCGCTCCAGTCCTTCTGCCCGCTCCAGTTCCCACCCCAGCCCCAGTCGTTGCTTCCCCAGTCGCCGCCCCAGTCGTTGCTTCCCCAGTCCTGCAGAACAAGGCCAGGTGTTGCTGCGTTGCTGCCCCGGGAATGAGCCGCGCCCGGTTCACCCCATTGGTACTAACAAGATGGTGAGAACGGTTTGAGAACCACCCTCCCACCAACTCACGTGGAACCTGAGAGGGGGTCTCTTTAAAAGGAAAATGCTCTTCCAACAGCCCTGCTCAGAAGCATGTTGAACACTGAATATATCAAAGCATGGAACCGGACCTCTTGGAAGGTGGGGGAAACCGCTGTTGCCATGGAGGTTGGGGCGAAGTTCTGACCCTGTGCCACATTTCGTCTACAAAACACGTCGGCTTGGAGATTCCTCGGTTGCTTTCTGCTCCCCTGCTAAAAGTGAATAACTTTTAGTGGTTTCATTCGGAAAACCCATGAGTTGGCAAAACGTTGCAACATCCCTTGGCAAAACGCACCAAAGATTCCATCCGAGCCCCAGGACGCCCCCCATTTCCCGATTCGTCCTCGGAACTGGCGACGTGCCCCGCTGCGGGCCCCGGCTTGGGCTTGGCGGTGGCCAGCAACAAGCTCTCCTGGACGACCGAGAAGGGGCCTCTTTGAACATGTGGCTGTGGTTGTCAAAACCGTTAAACGGGATCCCATTTTGGGGGATTGGTGAATTCACAACCCATGTTAGTCTATTTTAGTGGGGGTGTACCATTTTGGTTGGTAGGTGAATTCACCACCCATTGTAGAACCTACTTTAGTGATTGGGATGTTCACTGGGGGGTACGATTTGGATTTTGACCCATGGCCATGTACTCCGCTCCGGGAATTCGCTTTGGCTTTTTCGCTTTGGATGAACCTGGAAATTAAGGGAAACTGCAACAAAATGGTTCCGTCCGGTGTCATGGCCTTCCCCGAGAACCAGCAAGTTGACCACCTAGGAAATTCGAGTTTTTCAGATGGGCGTGGCTCAAAAAAAATAGGGGCCCGAAATGGAACCCTGGTAAAGGGTCCCTGGTTCCCAAATTTGAGCCACGCCCAGATCAAAAGCCAAACTCACTTCCTGAGTTGATTGGCCAAACGAGTCTACACATTCTGTTGGCCACCAAAATGGTCCAAGCCCAAAAAATGTGTAAAGTCCATGAACTCAGGGAGTGAGTTTGCGGCACCCCCTTGGCTGGTTTCCCTTTGGTTTCCCTTAATCCCAAGACAGGTACCTCAAGAACAATCAACCCCTTGTAACCAGGGAAGAACTCAACCCAGTTTACCCTGGCCTAAGCCTCAGTTGTTCAGTGACCCTGGAAAAAAAATCGGGAACCCTTTTTGGGGAAGACCATTGTCAGTGGGGCCACCCGAAAAAAAGAGGGAGAAACGGAATTGGTGCCACTGAACTGAGAAGCTGTGAGGCTTCTGTTTCCCCCGCACCGTTCCCTCCGCATCTTTAACCCCGCCTTGGCCGGTGGGCCTCCAGGCCTAGGGCCCATAGGGCCCATAGGGCCCATCGAGCCCAGCGCCTGAGCCGGCTTCGACCCGCTTGTTCGACTTTTCGCTTCGCCGGTAAGTTGGTCGACTTAAACAGGGGTCATTCTTTTGATGGGTTGCTGCGGGGCATCAAAGTCGGGAAAAATGGGCTTGTTTTTCCCTTTACCCACCATTTAGGGGTGCCTTCGATGGCAAAATGGCAAAATAATGGGAAAGGAACCCTTTTGGGAGGTCGGAACCAGCTGCGGTTTGAGCGAGTCCACACATGGTTTCCAGTTGGTGGTCCTTCCAACACCGCCCAACTACTGCTGTTTGGACATGGGAGGGTGGCTGGTATTGGGCGAATGGATTTCAGAGTTGGCAGTTGGAGTTGGATAACGTGTGGGGAAAACATGCTGGAGTTAAGATGTGTGGAACATGTGTAATTATGTATGTGTGTGTGCGTTGCACAGCTTTCAAGAGAAACCAAAAGGGACACCCGCCCTTTTTCGGGGACCCCTATTTTAGACACACCCAGATATGTTACTAGCTGTACTTCCGGACCTTCTGGCGTCCGCAGGGCAGTCTGGATCAAAAGTACGTCAGGTATCAAGTGAAACCACGACAGACACGACCCAGGACTCGGTTCGAGTCGCCGGGGGAGGAGACAAGCATTGTCAGGGAAGCCTGGTCAAACCCTGCTGGGTTGCCATGGTGTCGAAACTAGCCTTGCTTCGAAGGCTGCAAGAGTCCCTGCAGTCCCTGCAAAGTGTCGTCCAAAATTAGAAGGCACCGTCAGCCGCAAAGTTGGACTGCCATTTGCTGTGCATGGCGGATGCGATGCTTCTTTGGAGATGGCATTGAAACGAGGGAGGGGCGGGAGGGGATTGAGTGTTCTCTCACAAAGGTAGGGGCCCTGATTCTTCCCCCGATCATGCTCTGGTAGGCTTGTCTTGACAGTCCCAACTTCATTGAAAACAAGAAACGCCTTAATCCAGGCTTGATTTCAAATCATTTTGAGAACCCACAATGCCTTTTTTGAGGATACTCTGTTGGGGCTGGCCCAAAGGGATGAGTTAGACAAACCCTACAAGGCTACAAATGAACCTGGCTTTTTGTGCCACTGCACCTCCATTTTTTTGTCACCCTGACATCATACCCTAAACAGCGCTCGGGGTATTAAAAGCTGGCTGTGGGTCAAAACCCTGGTACCCCCCTACCCCCCAGATTCCCTTTCAAAATGAACCAAACAAAAGGGGGGGGTTTCCCAAAAACGGGGTATCTGGATTTTGACCCACACCCAGCTTGCCGCATGTGTGTGTGTGTGTGTGTGTGCGTGTGTGTGGGCCCGGTTCTGCAGAACCCACGCCTTGGGCCGAATCTGGAGCTTCGCCGGGGTGATCACCGGCGCCGCCGCCGCCACGGGGATCTGCATCTTGGGCGGGACAGCCTTGGGCCCGCCCAGAGCTCCTGCGACAGGGGGGAAGCGACAAAAGGCTAGGGGGGGGGAACCCAAAAGGCCAGGTCGGCCTGGATTAAGAAAACACATATGGCTGTGGGTCAAAAATAGGTAGCTATCATGGAACCCTCTGAATGGAAACGAGGACAAAAGCTGGCGGTCCCCTAGTGGTGTAATTTTGACCCAACCATATCTGGTAAGCAGGTTGCTTCAGGGCGAAAGCTGTGCCCTTTTAGAGCGGTGTAACAAAACATGCTAGCTCGTCATGCTGATCAGACTCATGGCTGTACTTTGCAGGCGCGGTGCGGTCAATGCTCGCCCTGTGTCAAATTATAATATTATAGAGGTTTGCAAGTGTGACAATTGACCGCTCCGGCGTGCTCTTTCACTTGAAGGATTCTAGGGGGAAGGGTATGAACATTTGTTGCGGAGACCCAAGAGGGCAAACTCTTATCCTGGCGGTGTATAACCATGTTAGTTCCATTAAAATCGTAGTGATACTGTGGATGGATGGACGAAATCCTGCACTATCTAAGAAACCCTGGAATGATGCTTCCCCTGTACCTACCAACAAACAATGATTTTTCTATGGTTTCGAAGTGGTGCAGGATTTCGTCCATCCACAGTAGTGACAAGCTACTTTCTACTCGCCGGGAAATGAACAAGGGAATGCAAAAGGGACGCCCCTTTCGAAGGGGTTCCTAACAAGACGCGTTTTGGGGCTCCATTGCAAAAGAGCAAAAGGCAAACTATACATAGTTACGAGGGCCACTTACTCATACCGTTGCTATGCCTTACAAACTGGGTTCAACATCCATGAGGAGGTGCAGGTTCTGAATTGATTCAAAGGGGAAACCTCATGACATGCCAGTCCCCTTGCAAAACGGAATAAACACGCTTCTCCTCCCCCCCCAAAAAAAATGAATAAGGCTCAGCATAGCTCCCACTTACAGCCACTGTTTGCACTGTTCGTCTTGACACACGATGAACTGTTTTCCAGCGCTGACCCAAACAATCTGTTTCTTTTGCTTGGGCCACCTGGGTGTCCAGCCCAAACTCTTGCGTTCTGGACTGCCTCCTTGTAGGGTCCCTTTCGACTGTTGCAAATCCCAAAGCGTTCAACAGTTGGAACTTATATGGGCGTCTTTTTCTAGGACCCCCCCCCCCCAAAATGGTGTTGTTTTCCTCTTGGTTTCCCTTAAAGCCCAAAAAAGGGTATCCCCAAAGAAGACACACCCACATGTTGACTCCAGCCAGAAAACGAAATAGACGTTCAAACGTTTGAACCTAGGAGAAGTCAGCCTTTCGAACGCACTCCACCTGAAACAGGGATCCGGATGCATGAAAAACACCTGAACATTGCAACTTGTTAGCTGGCAGTTGCCCTTTTTGGTGGAAAAAGCAACATGTTTCAAATGGTTGCAAAATGAACTTCTTTTAAGGAGCCCTGTGAAGAGGCGCTCCTTTGCCTTTGCCCTTCGCAGTCCAGTCCGACCAGTCTGACCAATCTGACCAATCCGACCATTCCGCCATAGTGCTCATCATCTGCCTCGGGATGTGGATCTCCTTTTTTTTGATCCCCAGCCTGTGATCTCTCAAAATCCCGCATGCTCAAGTTGGTATATTGCGCACGTGTTCCCCCCTCCAACAACTAACTTTCTGTTTCAGTTTGTGCACTTTCCAAGAGCAGGTTCTCCATAGGAAACACCTCCTTCCGTGGTTTGGAGTTGAAACCCATACCCAGCAACAACTTGGGTACCAGGAGAAAGGGCGCCTTGTGCGTTTGCTGAAGTGTGCTTGGCAAACGAGGCAAACGAGGCAAACTTGGAGGCTTCTTTTAGTTCAAACACCCATGTTAAAAATGCGAATTGAGACCTGTCAAAATAGATTGTACAGGATAGACCGCCCAAGCACGAGGGATGGTTGGGGTCCACACCTCCGACAGGCAATTGCTTTTTTTCCCCATGCTTTCCCCTTCAAGTCATCCCAAATAAGGTTCCCTCAACAAAAGACAGACCCATATCCTATCTGGGCAAACCGTAACTCCCGAGCCTTTCTGCAAAGGACCTGCAACGAGCCAGTTCTACCCCTGAATTGAGTCGGGGCGCGCCCGTTCTTTTCCTTTTTGACCAGATAGTCGACACAACCACTTTCACGAGGTCAGGACATGGGTGTTTCTCAAATGGCTTGTTTCCCTTTGGCTCCCCCTAAAAAGCCGAAGTCAGCTGGGTGTGGGTCAAAAATAAGTACTCAAAATGGGTTGCCCTGGTATATGGAAACAAGGACTAACACCTGCGGTGCATATCCTGGTGGTTTTAAGTTCGACCCAAACCCATTTGGAGGCCACTCACACGATTCATTCCAAGCCACTGCAGCATATAAGGGTTCATCGCGCCCGAGCATGCGGATCCAGGATGAAATCCAGGAAGGGCCTGGCCAGGATTCTAGACCCAACAAAGGAGTGGGTGCTCCAGAATCTCCCACAGCATGGATTTACGACAAGTAAAATCTCAATCCTACCTTCAACAAAAGCACACACTACTTGAAGATTGCGAGTGTCTTCAACTGCGCTCGGTCCTCGCGCCTGAGACGTGACAAGGCACTAAGGTCAGCCGCCGATCATGGGCACAGATCGGCTTTTGAGCTGAGCTGAGCTATTGCGCTGGATTTGCGAGCTCTCGAAGATTGTCGAAAAGTCCAAGAACACTGGGAAACTGGGAAACGCGGTGAAGTCTGTCCTCTTGGCTCGAAGGTTGCCGAAAAGTTTGGTTTCTTGTGGGCTCCCAAAATCAGCCAGAAAGGGGTCGCTAGAGCGGCTTGTGGACGCGTGAACTTGTCTGAAGCTCCCATGGCTGTTTCCTTTGCTGAAGCCATCCGATCGCGCGGGACCCCACGTAAATATGTTGTGAGCAGTTCTTAATGATTGTGCTATTAAGAAACAAAAATAAATAAATAAATAAATAAACATGTGGATTTTGTCGTCAAGTCCACATCGTATCTGAAAATCGCAATGAATGCGCTACAAAAGGTGGATTTTGTCGTCACGCCCTGGCTAAGCAGGTTCGCATGGAACACCTGGCAAACAAATGCCCAAGGAGACACAAAGTCAACTCTTGGGTACCTTCTGTGATACCACTGGTTGAATTAGGCGAATTGTCTAGCATCATGAAGGGGGAGCCAACTTTTCTGGGTCCAAAGTCTCAAGATTTCCCGAGCTAAATGGTCGGCAGGACCCAAAGTAGATTTGCAAAGCATTCAGCATGCAACTACCACCGCTGTGGACCTCTTCTCGCGCGCCCAAAAAGCAGCCCCCTTTTCCCTCTCCCCGCGTCCAACGCCAACATCTTTGCGCGTATGGTACACCGAGCCATGGGGCCCCAGAATGACACCAACGGCCACACTGTCAAAGGTTCTGCCAAAAACAATCGGACCGAAAAGGGAAGCTTGGATGCAGATTGAGCCCTGTGCTTAGGGCAGTATTTTTGTGTGGCATGAGGTCAACAGTTCGATCTGACGGTTCAACCTGCGGGGTATCTCGAGCGTACTCAGCCGGAGCGAGCGCTCCGACTAGCCTCAGCACGGGACGCTTCGAAGGGGAGGAGTCGACCCTTGGGACAGCCAAAAGAGCCCCACATCGCTCAACTTGTTGAAGGCAGTTGCAATGGGAGTCGATAGATGGAAAAAATGAACTTGCGCTGGCTGTCAACGCAAGTCGGGCCATGTCCCCCAAATGGAATGGGGGAAAGCCGAGTTGGAGTCGCAGGGAGGACCTGGGGTTCTTCGGGGCCTCGGCCCTGGGACTCGTTTCACGGGCACCCTATGGGTGCGTTGTGCCCCGTCATTTCATCTATCGAGTCGTCTCCACCAAAACGGGGTGAAGACTTGAACTTTTCCAGAGAAACCCACAAGCCCCAAGGTTGTAGGTTCCCGAAGGAAAATACGTTTTAGGGGCGAAACATCCAAGATCCCAAGAAGGGAGAATCACATGGGACCTACCAAGGAGATGTTGGGTTCCCATGGCATGAATGAACTTCTCCAGTCGAAAGCCGCCCATGTCTTCTTGGGGGCAAGAACTTTGAAGGAATTCAACGCCGGCTGGCGTCATTTCATCCGTGTTGGGTTTACACTTTATCCGGAGGCCATTGGATGATCTTCCCAATCCCTCAACTTGACTGTTGGACCATAGGGATTTTGGGATTTGTGCCCACCAATTCTCAGGGTATGCTACATTCAAGTTCCTGAAGGATTTAGGCCTTTCGGCCCAACTTCCTGGGGACCCCGGCGACCCCTGGCTTTGCTCCGGGTGCTTCATGCCGGCAGGGACTTATTCTCGTCCTGCCGGCACCGGTGGCTCCAACGAAACCAGGACCAAAGTATGTTTGAACACCCCTCAAAGTGCTTGATGGACCCAGAAAAAACAACACCCCAACAAAGGGCACCAATTCCAAGAACCACACACACACACACAAGTTTTCTGAAAGACTCTAAAACCAGATCTCTGAGATGCCAGGGCAGCATTCGAAGGCATCCCCGTGACGTTGGGTTCACACAAAGGGGTTCACAGACGGATTCCTGCACTCAGCCCTTGACAACAAACCGTGCTCTTCCCATCAACCGCCACGCGCAAACGTCGAGGTGCTTCCCATGTCCGAAGAAAAAAACAAAAAAGAGGAAGAAGAACAAAAAAGCCGAAGCTTTCCAGAAAGCAATTGCTGAACCATGCTGGTAAGCCATGCTTTGCTTCCTTTGGCAATAGGGATGCTGAGTGCCACAGCCGACAGCTCCTTTTCCCGCGCGGACAAACCCACCAAACACACGGAAAATGGTTTGCTGGCTTTCTTACTTGCTTGCTTGCTTGATTGGTTGGTTGGTTGGTTGATTGATTGGTTGGTTGGTTGGTTGATTGATTGATTGATGTATTGCTTGCTTGCTTGCTTTCTGACTTGCTTGCTTCTCTGTGTGTGTGTGTGTTTCCTTTTTGCAGCTTGTTCTCTCTTTCCAGCAAGCCAGCAAGCCAGCAAGCAAGCAAGCAAGCAAGCAAGCAAGCAAGCAAGCAAGCAAGCAAGCAAGCAAGCAAGCAAGCAAGCAAGCAAGCAAGCAAGCAAGCAAGTGAGCGAGCAAACGCACACACAAGAACCATAACCAACAAATAACAAATACAAAACACCAAAAAATCAGGCAAACAAATAACAAACACAAAACAAAAGAAACCACAACACCAAAAAAAAGACAAGCAATGACAACAAAACAACCCCACGCAACATAAAGCAAACGAACCAAACAATAGTAAGCAAACAAGACAAACACCCCCACAGACAAAACAACACAAAACCAAACAAATGACCACACAAAAGCAAGCAACAAAAGGACAAATAGCAAAAACAAATCAAGACAAGATCAACAAAAACACAAACTAACAAGCCACACCGAGCAAAGCAAACGAAGACAAAACAAGCACAAACACACAACACACCAAAGAAACAAAACAAAGTAAAACAACACACCACACACTGCGACAAAACACAACGAACCAGAATAAAGCAAACACACGACCAAAAGGAACAACCCAACACAACACAACACAACACACCACAACACAACGCAAGAAAACGCAACAGACAACACAGCAAACAAGCGAACACAGAAAAAAACCCACCAACCAACAAACAAACAATCAAACAAACAATCGAACAAACAAACGAAGCGCAACGCAACGCAAAGCAACGCAAAACAAAAGGTCAAACAAACAAAACAAACAAACAAAAATCAACCAAACAACTCAACACAACGCAACACAACCCAACGCAACGCAGCACAAAACTAACAGACAGGCAAACAGGCAGGCAGGCAGGCAGGCAAGCAGGTAGGCAGGTAGGCAGGCAGGTAGGCAGGCAGGCAGGCAGACAAACAGACAACAAACACCGCGTAAAAACAACAACAACAACCATGCAATCAAGAACAACACAACGAAACGGCACAAAACAAAAATAACAAACAAACACAACAACACCACATAACATAGCAACACAATGCAACACAGAAAACAAAACAAACAAACAAACAAACAAACAAACAAACAAACAAACAAACAAACAAACAAACAAACAAACAAAAAAACAAACAAAAAAACGAACAAACAAACAACAAACAAACAAGCAAACAAGGAAAGCAAAACGAACCAACTAACAAATGCCTCCCCTTGGTTTTTTGACAGCCCCGGATTTGCCACGAACAACGGAGGCTAGGGCTAGTTCCCCTTACCATGGTCATTGTAGAAATGAAAGTTGTTCGCCTTTTGAAGCCACTAAGAATGGAGCAAGGGGAAACGAGGTCAGATCCGCCTTTTTTGATCCGCCTTGGTTGCAAGCCAGTGACTGGTAACCCTACAGCTTGAGAGATGATTCCAAAACGCGCGCGGAAGGGCGTGCAAAAAGCTCCTTCTTCCGGGTTCGGCTCTTGGAGCGGCTGGAGGAACTCCTTCGTCGCGCCTCAGGGTTGACTGCAAGGGATGGTGCCAAGTGAAAATACCAACCGTGGTAGCCTCGTTAAGATCCAAGTAGTCAACATACTTCCTAGGCTAAACATAGTGACCAATTGGTGACTATGGGCCATTGAGGAAAATAAAGGAGGACATTTCTGTCATGCCTTGCTGTGGCTCCCCTGCTGCTCTGAATCAGTGGATGGCTGACTTTTCGCCCAGCGACCCTTAAGGGTACCCCTTCTTGGGACCTGCCTGGGACCTGCCATTTGAGGTGTCCAAAGAAGTCTACGGACCACCCTCCAACGCCTGTCTTGCCTCCGTAAAACCCGGGCAATAAAGCCAGGTTTCCAAGAGAGCTATACAGCTCTCATGGCTGATGTCCGCTTTCGTGTCGTGTCCAACCCATGAGGGGCATCTCCCCTTGAGCCCAACCCATATTTCTCCACTTGGAGTTCGCATGTGGAGGCAAGCCAAGATTGGAGTTTCCTAAAGCAGATCATCCTCTTTGGATTTGAGACCAGAAGGGGGGGGAGGCCCAACATATCCAAAAGGGCGTTCATTACCCCCAAGCTACCTCAAGGGACATGATGCATACACTCTCCTTTTTTTGCGCATCGGTTTACCCCTTCTTCTAACCAAACGGGCTCCATCTGCTGTCCTGATCTATTTATTTTTTCCCGGAGTGGTTCGGCCCTTTTTGCTTTAATTGGACACCTGTCCCAGTCCCAGGCGCCCGGCGCTTCGGCTGCGGCTGGCCTGCGCAGAGACACTGCTTCCAGTTTAGGGGAAACCAGCTAACCCCCGCCTTTTCGTAGGAAAACCACGCAGCCAACGGGTTGGCCGCCCTGGCCATGATTCTTTATAAGGGAACCATCTCAAAAGTGTCTGGTGGACATGAACCCCGCCTAC